ATTTTTATTTTTGATTCAAATATAGTCAAAACTTCTATGAGTAGGTAAAAAATGATGCAAAATCCAATGAAAATACTTTTAAAATCTCTAAAGATTTTCTAGCAGGTCTCTAGAAAACGTTCTGTTCAATAACAAGGTCAACATCTCACACAGTATCATACATAACATAAGTATCGAATAAACAAATACAAGAAAACAAGATATTGTTTTCTTATGTCTTTCTTCGCTAGAAAATCTTTAGAGATTTTAAAAGTATTTTCATTGGATTTTGCATCATTTTTTACCTACTCATAGAAGTTTTGACTATATTTGAATCAAAAATAAAAATTTTATTAAAATTTTGAGCCCAATGTTGAGCAGAAATGTCAAAATTTTAATAAAAGTGAAATTTCTCAGCGATGAAGCAAATCAAAAATAAAACCGATATATACTTTTGAAGCTCGTTATCTAACGATGAAGATGAGATACAATTGTTAACAAAAGAACTAGATAAGCTTACAAAATAATCTGATATTATCTGAACGGGTCTAATTTCGGCTGTCAGATTCCAAAAGACTAATGCTTTCGTAGTCAATTAAACAACATTTTCAGAATTACTTTTTGATGCTAAAATCAGTAAAAGCTAGTTTGAAAACCTGAAAAGAACGATAAAGAAAAAAATTTAAATTTTTCTAAAAATGAAGCATTTTCGACCCTTCAAGTTTCTTAAATTTCTCGTCCTTAAATTAATATTTCGAAAAGCTAAAACCAACTTTTTCTTGCTCAGTTCGATGCACAATTTCCACGATGTATAATTTAATTAAAAAGAAAATGATGCTTACATTTTGAATTTCCATCATCTTATCAATATGAAGAAATAAGATTGAAAAGAAAATAACTATACCTTTCTTGGGACTGTAAAACTGATAACTTCACACAATCCGGTATTTAATAGTTTATAAAAGCTAAAAAACAAAAAATAAATTGTAATTTGAAATGAAATTAAAGACATCATTTTACCGTGCTATTTCACATATTCCCGTATTAATTCCTCTTTTCGGCATAACACCCATTCCTCTTTGTGGATCGGATGACGAATATGTGTTAATAAAATGAATATAGGGTGCGTCTGGTGTATATTCAAAATACCGAATAGTCGAATCGCCCTAGACAATAGCCATATTTCATTTAAAAAAACAAAAGGCAAATGAATAACTTACTTTCCCACATAAAAATATTAAACCTGTATCTTCATCGTAAAACGGAAATAGAATACCATTTGAACTATCTAACTCTTCCATCACTAATGCATTTCCTAATGTTGTCTAAACAGAAGTACATTAAAACCCGTTAAAAAACCCCAGTAACCACATAATTAATTGTGAGTGTGAAATGAGACTTTGTCAAGAAATGTGAAAAAGGATGCACCGAAAAATATTATATACAAACAGGCAATATCCACTGTTAGTGCAAATGATGCTTTAATCTACATCAAAAAAAGCCTCGTTTATATTTTACTTACTTCATCCCATAATGCATATTGTCTTTCACTCATTTTCGAAAATCCAGTAGTAAAAATTCGTCCATCACGAAGATAAATTGCACGCATTGGTTTTGCTCCTTGATGTCCTAGACCAGTCTAGAAAAATGCAAAACAAAGATAAAAAATGTATTACTTTCATCTATTTTGACATTCTCAGCTTACTTTAACAACTTCTCCAGTTCTCGGATCGATAACTCTTAAATATTTATCTTTACACGCTGTTACTATTCGACTACCGTCATATTTCCAGCTAACGCTTAATATCACTTCTGGATGACAGTCAATTGTTGTCAATATTGTTGATTTTCCAACATTCCAAACAAATATCTTCATATCACCGCCTTTAAGTAAACAAAAACGAAATAAGAAAAGAGTATCGATCCATTATTTATTATCACATACCAGCACTCAGCAAAACGTTTAATGCCGAAGGATGCCATAGAACCTTGAACAAATTTAGAGCATTAATAAAAATTTTCTTTTTATCTACAACAACGAACACACCTGTCCAACACGTCTTTGATGTGCAACAAGATCGACCGACGATTGTGTTAAATTTTGTGATAAACCTTGGTCAGGTATTTGCCAAACTTTTACAGTACAATCTTCTGATCCACTAGCAATAACATTATCATTATGAGGACACCATTGAATATCTAATACAGCTGCTTTGTGACCAGTCTAAAGTAATCAGAAATTTATTCAATTGTTCTTACTTCATTCATCATTTCAGATCTTTACCACTAGTGGAACATCACGATCAAGTCGTCCAACTTTATCTAAGGGCAAAACCATAAATGCTCCACCACCAGCTGATTCAGTGATAATAGCCAGAAATTTTGGATTAACTGTACAAAACGTTGAATCCCATGCACTTTTTGTTATACGTATATTTTCATAACACTCTTGTTTTTTAGCTGCTTGTCCAAATACATGGCGAAACTTGGAATGACGTACAACACGTGCCATTAAATTAAATTAAATTAAATTTCTAAAATGAAAACATATAGGCACATTTGTCGTTTTTGTACTAGATATCAAAAATAAAATAGCCAGTTTTAAGGGGGGGGGGGGGGGGGGGGGGGGGGGGGGGGGGGGGGGGGGGGGGGGGGGGGGGGGGGGGGGGGGGGGGGGGGGGGGGGGGGGGGGGGGG